TAAGCTTAATAAGTCACTTGTGTCGATACAAAATTACAAACTCAATTTCCCCTAAAATAACCATCCTTACTACTTTGAATTGTTAAGCAAAGCATTGAAAATTGTATGTATTTAAATAAAAAATTCGAATATAACATAATATGAAAACGGTATAAAAATTCAAGTTTTTTCAAATATAATCTATATTATAAGTAAGCTGGATAATTCCAAAAACCAGAATATGAATAAATGCATTGTTGAAGGATATAAGTGAGATATGCACGTTGGTAAATCACACTTTATATGAAGTATCTAAATTGCAGATATATTTTTTTCTTTTTATTATAAATAAACAATCTATACAGCGTATACACAATATGTTTATGTGGTAAGAGTAAAAATACAGACGTGAAATGTTGAGTAAGAAGTCACCCATTGACGACACTTATCTTGATTAAAATTACAGATATAAAAATTAAAGTTATCATAATCTTCATCTCTACGTAATATATCGAGTCAATGAGTCATACAATTTTATTTCAACGCGAGGTTTGTTTGAAATCAACAATTTTTTTAAACACACACATATATATATAAAAATTCCCTATAAAAATTAATTAATTATTTAGTCCTATCCAAAACACACAGAAGAATCTATTATACGAGGATAACTCTTGATAGTATTTCTTAGTTAAAACTTGTGTGATAAAATAAATATATTTTTTTTTAATTTTCAAGTAAAAATAGTATTAAGACAAGTTTAGTTATGAGAGCGAAAATGTTTTTAATTAAAATCAAACAAAGAGCATAAAATTATCAAGATCTCATGGGAGCACCTAAAGGTTTTTATGAATACTATTTGTAGGTAATAAATAATTATTATTCATAAAAGATCATTTTTACTAGTTATGAAATGTACCTATATACTACCGTAAAAAGTTTAATTGCACGTTTTAAAATAATGAAATGTTATTGAATTATATATGCTGTAAGTAATAATATTAAAAATATAAATATAAATAATATTATATTTGATAATACATATTTTATTGACTTGTTTAATATTTTCAACTAAATATTTAAAATTTTTGCAATGAATATTTTTGGATACATAAATATACCAAAAGTTATAAAGAACAATAAACCTAAATGTAACATACAGTACATTTGTAATATGTTTATTAATATATAAATATTTGGGGTTTGTAAATACCAACATTTTTTTACATTATATTTATTAACTTTATTTACTGCATCTGCATATGACACAGGTAGTTATTATTTTTTTTAATAGTGATAAGCTAATTAGTATGGTTAAAACGATCTAATAAAGTTAACGAGTTTATTGATATTATGAAATCATGTTTTCTATGTGAAGTTATAATGAAAAACTTTTAGTCACATGGTTTATTAGTTAAAATTGTGAATTATTTATTTTAGGTCCGGATTGTCCGAATTCCAAACTTTTTGAATTTGGTGCTTTTGGAAGGTTATTAACTCTACTACAATAAACTTTTAGGTACCTACATCAATAGAATGAACTAAAATATTTATTTGTAATTATACATATATATTTATGTTTTTATTTCCAACATTTTTCACTCTGACGCGTTCAAACATTTCAATTTCCCATTAATAACCTAATTACACATGGATCTCAAAAGTACAGTTGTCTAAGGGCGTTATAAGACCTCAAAGTTTGAATTGAAATTGACTGAGAGAAGATGAAAATATTTATGAAAATATTAATCTATAAATTATCAATTAACTATGAGGGAAAACGGTTTTCATTTATATTATTTAGTCATACATTTTATTAATTAAATTATAATATATTTCAAGTCGTAAGTGAAATACTGAGATGTTGTATTTTACTGTTAAATAAATGGTGTACGTTCGGCGTACATCTAATATACCCACTTGAAAGTAATATTTATTATTATAGCTCGGAACAAAATTGTGTGAAATACGTCATGGGGATATATATTGTTGAGGACACTTAGTGAAAACTGAGTGGTACTTGTAGAATAATGAACAAGGAGCAAAAACATCGTTTTACTCCAAACAAAAGTTTACATTAAAATGAATTTATAAATCTTAACACTAAAAATATAACCTTAAGGTTATTTGACCATACTTTTAAATTTTAGTCATTCTGAAGTAGCTATCAAGAAAAAACATGCTGTAATAAAAACGACGAACAAATAATTATTCTATGAAAAATAAATTGCATAACAACTAGCGGAGAGTTTTCTCTTATTTAAATTTTACAATTAACGAAATCATAAACGTGATCATCGTTAAATAATTTGAATTAATTAGTTTGGACTAGTGATCATCAACCTTTTTAATATATACATATGTGTGACCTACTTTAAGACACCTTTTCTGCATGATGAAACCATAAAAAATTCTGGTTTTATTATTATTTATTATAATTAGGTTCTGATATAATTATATTATTTAAACTAATGATAAGCGTGTGGTCCATCAAAACAATTTCACATGTCAACATTGGTTATATAACATATAGGTTGGAAAACTCGGGTTAGCACAACTAAAGGTACTGAAAGAAAACGAAGTTCCTTGGTATAAAAAAATTTCCTGTACAATATTTATTGGATATGCTTAAGTTTTTTGGATAGTTAATGATCCGTTCCAAATTTTATTTTAATCATATTTTATTTATATTTTATTAAACGAATTTAAGAAAAATAGTGCAGTGGGATAGAATATGAAAATCGAATAATCGATTCCTTGTGAATTCCTACGGGTCATGTAACAGGTATATTAACCACACCTATTTTTACATGCAATTTATACATAGTACCGTGTAGTATAACTTTTTCAAATTAACTAAGAAACTTGTATGAATATTAAAAGAAATAAAAAACGTGGGTCGCGACATTTTAAAATAAAGTAATAAGATGTAATAGAAGATTGTGATTCTCTTTGGGAAATAATGTTAGGTTAGGTAAGTTGTTAACCTAATCAAAAAAGTTTTGTTATATTATTATCATTATCATTATTTGTATTTCTTTATTTTAGTTCGAAATTAGTAGGTACTATATTTTTAATGAGTTCATTATTTATAAAACTTAAATTTGATAGTTTGAGTTAAAACCACTTATTATTGTTTATAAATATCAAAATAAAACAACGTATAAATACATATACACATATACAATTTAATATTACTGAAAATACGCATACATTTATTTTTGTTTGTTAAGCTGAGTGGTAATAATATTATATTATGTGTAGGATGTGTGTTAGTGAGCCATGCAATAAAACGGAAACTTTTATAATTTTATATGTTTTTTGTTAGACTCTTCTCACACAAAACACATTATACGGACTATTCAATACCTATCTAAGTAAACACATTTATTTTTTGTATTAAATATTAACTGTATAAAAATATATTATATTATTCATCGTCGGTGCGCGCCCTTAAACTAAAAACTAACCATTAGTTTTTATTAATCTTATCTGTCAACAGAATGTATATAGCGTACTCGAATATGAGTAATACGATTACAATCATTGTTGTTTGTAATCCTACACACTGGTGTAGTGAAATTGCATATTCAACACGCCGTCAATGGTATTATTGTTAAATTTGAATACAGAAGTAATTTCCTTAACAGTTATATAATATTCAAGCACTTTGAATCGTGATGTTTTTGTTAAACATCTTATTTACTGAACAATGAACATGCATAAATATTTTATTATTAAATTAAAAATAATGAGAACAACGGAAACGTCGCAACTATTGACACAAATTATCACTAAAGTCACTATACTCAGAATAACCTAAATAAAAATAACATTAACTCATCATTACCATGTAATATTAAATAAATACATTTATATTTACAAAGTTATTTTTGAAACATTCATTTTTTTATTTAATAGTTCATATTATTTAATAAATAAAATATACATATTATTTACGTATAAATATATAATATGTATAATAATAGTAATTGTGTTTTTAACAAATTATAATTTATATTTAAACAGAAATTGTGACTTATGTGATGATATAATAACAACGTTTTTACATAAATTTAAAAATGGTCGTGATAATTATGTATTAACCATGCTTGAGCCATCCATAATATACAGCACCAGCTAAAGCAATAATTATGATTTTACCGAGTTCCACGAAGAAACCAAACATAGACGCACAAATCGTTCCTTATAATGATACATTTTTTACTTTATCCGGAACAAATATATTCCTATAACCTGCAGTTCCAGACTATTTGATTTAGTTAAAAATAAAAAATAAAACTATTTAAAACAGATTCTGAAATTCTGATTGTCTAAATTTTCCGATATTATTCAAATACAGTAGCATAAAAGATTTAAAATAAATATTTCTTGCGCGTTGAGACTGGATAGTAGTAAATAATAAGACTAACATTTTAAAATAAATAACAACAAACAATATTAAAGCCAAATTTTAAAATTAAAAACCAAATACATCATATTATAGTGTATTGTTCGGTGCTGTGCAGTATCGTAATAACAATATAATTCGGCAATCTATTTTGGATTCGAGTAGTTAAAATGATATATTTTAGGAACTAATCGAATACCCACAGTGTATAACTGTCTAAACGCACACGAGTATATCTATTGACTCGTCCCGATATTACTGGAAAAGGATCGCGTGGAAATCAAAGAAACCAGCCTAGATGATCGAGATGCATTACAAATATAAATAGTGTATAGGCACAACGGAACGCTGTGTTCGCGTGGCCGGTCATCGGATTATTGTAATTTACTAACTAAATACTTGTAAGGTCAATACAATTGTGTCCAAAAATGTAGTGATCACGAAAACGGAGTATCAGATGTGCATAATAGGTATTATAAATACGCTCGACACAACTCCCCGGGGACGTGTACGCACACACATAATATATATTTTACTATCGTATCAGCTATGACTGGCGTATTTTATTATACTATAAATAATATTAAAGCAGACAAAGGTCGGAACGTACCTATGTTCCTTTTTGCGTGTATGTGCCCGTACAGTTTGTTGAGATCGAGCGCGGAAACGATGAGGCCGCCACCACAGCAGCACAAGATCATCGCGGCGGTCAGGATGAGCTGCTGCTGCCTCGCCATGATATCGTCTGTCGGCTCGGACGGTGTGACACTGAGTGTGTATGCTTGCGTGTGAGCGTCGTGTCGGTCGCGAGTTTCCCGTGACGGCGACGGCCAACACCCAAGCAATGATAGGGCGCCGGCGCCGGGCACCGCAAACAGTCGAACGTATATTTAGTCGTCACCGCCTCCTGTTCCTGCTCCTCCTCGTCCCGCACCTCCACGTCCTGCTCCTACTCCTCCCCTTGCACCCCCTCTATTCGTTCACCGCCGGCCCCTCTCCCCGTTCCCCGTACACTACTACGTTTCTAGCCGCCACTGCCGCCACTACCGCCCGTCATAGCTTTTTGTGTGTTGTAGTCCGTACGGTAACAGGTAGGCAGCGCCGTTATAGTTGTTGCACAGCTATATAGCCCGAGCAGCACCGCACTGGAGGGGTTTTCGCGTTAACAGCGGCACAGTCGGACCCACGAAAGTGGTTGGATGGTGGAGGTGTGGTGGTGGGAGGATGACAGGGGTGATTGGGGTGGACGATGGCAGGGGTGAGAGTTTGCAAGTAGTACGCGGATTATCGGACATTTCCCCCATCCTCCGCCCGTCGTAATGTAATGAAGAAACGCCGCCACCGTGTCGGTTAACCTACGCGTTTGGCTATGCAACGAAAAATAAAATAAATTCATCTTTGTGCTCGCCTCGGCATAATATATTTTGAGATATTTCCGTCGGTTCGCCGGGGTTTTTTAATTCCTTATAAATCAAATCGTCTAAAGCCTGTCTTCCAAAACATACTTTTAAAGTTATATAGGTATTAGTTACGCATTATACCTATGCGTATTGTTACTTCAATATATATACACGTTATACACTGTCTACACATATGTACTGTAATGTACCTATGGCTTTACAGTAGACATATTAATATATATAATATATATTGTGCAGAAGCCAGAAGTAGTAATATATACAAACACGCCATAGGCGAAAATCTCCATGGTAACGTTGTCGCCGTTACAGCCGAATTCTGCACGGCTCGCGTGCGTAGTAATACTGCCGACAACATACACATACACCATACGAGTTTGAGACTACCTACACGTATAATACGGCCCTCATGCGTTTGTTGTTGTGGTTGGCGCGCAATATCACTATAATAGGTACGTCGTTGATGATATTTCCAGTACGATTTACGTCTTGAGGGACGATGATAAAATAATAACAACAACGGCAACACAAAAGCGACCAACTGTTGGAGGCGCCAGGCTGCAACGCTGCGCCCCCCCGTCACTATACCGCCTAAGCGTATAGTATTATGGTATTGCGCTGTGAAATGTGTACCTACCTAAACACGAAATAAATTAAATCGCGTGTTTCAGAAAAAAAAAATCGGAAAGTCAATAAAACACTACATAAATATTAAAATTATACGTACTTGCCTATTTTATTATTTTATTATGTAAACACTAATGCATTCTATATTTTATAATGTTTACCCACAATTTATAACAATTAATTTATTCCATTATAAATGCACACTACTCTACTATGTATGCAAGGGTCGAGCAGTTTGTGTACAAACATTATTGCAGTTTTTTCTATGAGAATCGATTAAAATATTTTTTTTAAAACTCTGTAACTAGTTCAATGTATTCGTCATTTTGTATACAAATACACTTTTTTATTTATACTCTCGATTCATATTAGTTCAATTAAATGTCTGAAATATTAACTTATTTGTGGGCCACTGTATATTACCTACATTTACTTTAGGGCTGCCATATATCATATATAAAAATGCATATAAGATGCATCTTGTAATTCTTATTATGTCAATCTGGCCATGTTTGGCCATCTTCATTAAAAAGATGCTACACCAAAATTATAACTTTTATAACGCTCAATAAAAGTTATTTTTATGCTTAGGTATACACAAAAAACAACTCGGGTTACACTCCTAGACCCTAGTTGAGACTTGAACACCAAATATTTACACAAGAACACAGAACAAAATATTTATCCAGCTGTTAGTGCAACAGTTTTTAAGTACATAACTTATAATACGAAGAAGTAACAAATTATTGCTTTAAGATTTGTTAAATGTATATTTTTCAAACTTGAATGACTTTTTTAACACTTTAATTTATAAAGATATCATTGCGGCACAATATTTTTCCTGATGTTTTGCATGTTTATGGTGTCAGTCAATCAGAATTGTAGCTTAAGTGGTTCTTTCTCACACAAATGGGGTGCCACGTTTTCTTAAAAAAATGATTTTGTCATATTATAGTCAAATATATTTTTTATTATTTATTTATAAATACAATTTAAATATATTTAACATAGAAAAAAATTGATTTTAAACATGTTTTGTTTATTTTATTTTGTATGCAACATATATTTGGTTTATTTTTATGATTACTTTTGAATATAATATCATATGTAATATACATGAATTATTTAAAGGACTTATATAAGATTATCTCATGTCAGTGATCAATAATTATTAGATATTTTGAAATCAAATCAAATGGTCTAATAACTACTATCTTATTAAACACCACATCAAAAGTAAAACGTATGTAACGCTCAACAGATGGATATTATTGTGTTCCTTATACAAAATAAAAATGTTTTACCTTAAGTGACCAAACGCGGGAAAGAATCATTCAGACTCGACTCCTATAGTTGAGAATATTGACATCGAATATAAACACGATTTAGAAATTATAAAATAATATTTAAATTTTAGTTCTAGTCAACTGATAACGAATAACGATCATGTAAAAGTTTGTCAATCTTAATAATGCATATGGTTCGTCAAACCCAAGTTATAATTAGTTTAAAAATAATTACTAAGTAAGTTCAAAAGTGTGTTTAATTTATAAATTATTCAGACATATGCCTATAACAATATGCTCTGATAAAGTCTTTCATTTATATTTTAAATGACGTCACGTGTGTTAAAATACTAAAATAAAGGTAACCTCGTACTATACAAAAGAATAGTAAACTATTTCAAAACTAAGACTTTAATAACTATTTCCAGATCATTCATTCATCATTAATGAATAGAAACTAAAATTTGAATTATAGTAAAAATATTAATATATTACTTTTCAAATTAATTTTACCATAAGTAGTACATATTTAACTAGAATAAAATAGTATCTTTACTGCCTATCCAGTTCATATTAAAACCAATTATTTATTTTATTTGAACAAATAAATATGTATAAAAATGCATTATATTTTAGATTGTTGATTTTATGCTAACAATTTTACAACAAACCATATTTTAAACCAAAAAATACATTAAATTTATTAAATTCGATGTATTTTTTATTTGATTATTTTATATTATTGAAATATTGTTTGGCGTTTGCATAAGCAAAACAACATCATACATATTTAATAAAGAATAATAATAATTTAGGCAGAGCACGTCATTATTGAAAATATTTATTTATTTATTTATTTAACGAGAGTTTTATTAAAATATTGTACCTACTCACGGTTTTTCACTCATTCGTTTTCTAAATATAAATCAATAACAATAGTAAATTTAAGTAAAATAATAAATTTTAAAATTATTCATGAATGGGCATTAAAAATCTTTAAAACATTATGTCTTTATGAGTTTGAGTAATAAATAATAACTAACTGCATTAAAGTTTAAAGATAATTTACTAGGTATTAGTTTTAAAATTAAAGAAAAGCATATTTTTAAAAACCTTATAACATGCCCATTACACCTATAACAATAACCATGTTATAAATTATATACGTCATGAATTTATAAAAGACTAATTCAGATTAAAAACCCTAACTCTTACCTTTTTATCATTGTTTTATACATAACTTCTACGACTTTGGATTGGTTTATAATGTGTTTATATTTAAATATTTTTTAGTTCGCCTATTTCTAATTTTTCAAATAAAAATACTGTTTTTGATTATTTATTATAAGGTAATAACTATTTATAATTATTTTTTATACATTAATTTGATATCAGTAAATGTATGACAGAATGATTCAATTACAATTTATGATGTAGTTACATAATTATGACTAAATCTAGATACAATATGGGCATTTATGTAGCATTATAAGCTAACAGCAGTACGCCCCAAGAGAGACTAGAATAATGATAATACCATTTTTCATGTATACCTACTATATGAATAAACAAATAGTAGTCAAATAATAACTTAACTTTTAGAAATTCAATAAATAGGTTTTTTTTAAAAGGTGTTATGTTTCGAGTTACGGCGTATACAATGTCAAGTCTTAATATCCAAAACAACAAATGGTATTAACAATAAAAATGTTGAAATAATAGTTACTTACAATTTTAAATATGTAACATTAATCAAAAATTCAAAACCCATATATTCTTAGCTTAAATCAAAAGTCAAAACCCATTGACCCTAAACCTTTAAAATTTAAGCGATAAAAAATGTGTTTTGAAAATCATACTAAGAATAATGTCTTTTGAAAATTTAAAGTAAACAAGAGTAATTTTAATATTTTTTTACTGAATTGAAGTATAATTATTATTTTTTAAATTCTATAATAGTGTAAAACTGACAACAGACAATGCTTGTTAATAAGTTAATTATAACATTCCATAAATCCGTCATAAATATATGTGACGCTTAATTTGGCTTTTTCCTTTGATTTTTAGTTCCTATTAGTATTTTTCAAATGAGCATATTCATTCATTTGAATATTTAGACGAGTGAACCCAGTTACCGTTATTAAAGACATACGTCTATAGTGTTTACAATAAAATAATTTAATATAATATAATATTTTGTTATTACAATTAATATTAAGTATAATAATAAGACAGATAGTAATATAAATTATAATATGAATAATTCAGTAGGTACCTATAGTGTATCGTGTATGTGATGCACTATAATATTTATAATCAAAATAATTTATGTAACAAAGAAAACATAATGAGATATTGACACAGAATTTAATTTTTCAAGTAATAACTAAAATCATTTAATGAGACGCATGAATACAAATCAACATTTATTTGATTTACAAACTGCATTAATCTGTTAATAAGAGCATTTTGACC